ATTTTGGTTTAGAATCATAGCACATAGAGATACTTAATTAGTAGAATTTAAGCAGTAAACGATACAAACTTACAAGTATGAATATATTTTTTATATATCCCTTTTAAAAATTGCATTTTTTTAATAACTGCGTTTACATAAACGATCTTAAAAATAATATTATCTGGAAGTTATCTTAGATAAATCGCCATGTAATTTTATCTTTTATCTAAATATATTTAAAACAAAAGATGAATTTACATATTTTTTTATCTAATCTTTATCTAGCTAATTTTAAAATCATCTAATCACAACACTGATTTTTGCTAATGGATACTCAAATTATGATTTTATCCTCAAAATACGATCTGTACTGTCAACAAGATTTCATTTGTCTTTTTTATTCTTAACATTGTTTTTATCTCCAAGAAAATTGTACAAACATCATTTTTTATGCATTAATTGTGATTATCTTTTATTTATTTAGTTATTTTATTGAATATAACGCTATTAGATATTTCATATATGTATATTTTTATATGGTGTGACAGTTTCCATACGATTTGATATGACAGGTTACATCTGATCGTTTTTTGCATTTTTTCTGTTTTTCATAGATATATAATCACACAAAGTCACCCTAAAATCGATCTAATACATATAATTGACAATAAAATCAGTGTTGACAGGGATAATAAATTATTCAGAAAAATATTTTTCTTAAAATTACACAGGATACTTATAATTTAATTTGTTTAGATCGTGTTTAAACTTCTGATTCTATACGTGACAATTTACATATATGTATATGCATGCAATTAAAGACTCTATATTATAATAATTATTCTCTGTTATAATAAAAAAAAAGATTCTATGATCTAAAGATAAAATAAATTAAAACAAAGACAAAAAATATATATTTTTAGCTCGTACTCTTTCAACTTAATAGTGTCGATTTTTCGATATAGGAGAATACTATAAAATTACTACAAAAGAATATTATATAGGATTATAAAAGAAGAAAAAAAGTCACAGTATTTTCTATTGAATTTTACATTTTCTTTAGCACGAAATTCAGTTTTAATCTCTTATTCAGTTATAAAATTATTATAAAAAATATATAAATAAAAAGTTATTATTATAAAAAATACGTAAATTGTAATTATAAAATTATACATTATTATTGAAAATTAAGAGATGTGGAAAAATTCTAAAGATTCTCTGAAGATTTCTGAAAAATAATCTAATAATAAAATTTTACTATATATTTTAATATCAAAAATTGTTTCGAATTTGAGAAAAAATTATCTGCAAATTAGTATGAGAATCTATCGTTAATATTAAAATATCAGGGCTGTCCTATACAATGCAGTGTTTGGTGTTATCTAAATAAAATTATATAGATAACAAAAATAAGTATTATTTATATCTGCAACTTAGATGAAAACAAGTATTATCTTTACTAAATTATCTAGTATAATTTTCAGATAATTTTAGTTTAGAATCATAGCACATAGAAATATTTAAATAATAAAAACTTAAGCTGCAAGCGATAAAAATTTATAAATAAAAATGTGAATACATATATATTTTTATATCCCTTTTATAATTTACATTTTTTGTATAACTGCGTTTATTATTCATAAGCAGTTTTAAAAATTATTTAGATGAATCGCCATATAATTTTATCTTTTATCTAGATATATTTCAAACAAAAGATGGAATTTGCGTATTTTTATCTCATCTTTATCCAGCTAATTTAAAAATCATCTAACAATAAGCACAACACTGACAATGCATTTTATTGGCAATCAAAAATTCACAATAAAACGTGTAAGTGTTATCGAATTAAAACATTCTAGGCAGAGCTAGATTCAGCATTTTCGAGTCCAGTAAAATCGCTCTTCCACCAATGTCGAAGGACCGATCGCTGTCCTATAAGATTTATTCGACGACACATGAGGGTGGAATACGACACGAGATCGAGGGGACAAAGGGAGCGCGATCCTTCATTCGACGTTAAGGTCACACAAGGAGGGGAGAATTTTCGAGACTGAAGAAAAAAACATTTCACTTTTTACTTTTGCATTTTTTATTCTCTTACGTCGGACAAAGAGAGATGCTAATTTTTTATACGAGAAAGATGTATCTTAAGATTTCGCAAAAATGGCAGATTCGAAAGCGTTTATTTTTACACATACAAATATTGCAATATATTATATACATATCTCAAAATATAAAATTTATATATATTTTTCTCTCCGGGTAAAATTTTGATAAAAATTTATATAATTTATATTATTTATACAAAAAATGTATCGTAATGAAACTTAAATATAAATACACGTTAATTCATGAAAAATCCCCACTAATGGAAGTAAATTTCTGTATGTATGACAAAAACACATTAAAAATTTTTTTAAAAATTATAAGGAAAATACATAAAACATATGTTATATTTTTATATTTTTTATTTTAGTCTCACGCTAAGATTTTTCAAAATTATAATTTTCGATATCGCTGGAACTTCTCAAATCATTCCAACGTTTCATAATCGCTGAGATAAAGAAGGCACTGTTTTAAGATACTGTTTCGAGAGGGAAAAAATCTCGGGATAAAAATAAGCACGTATATTTGCTGCAACACGCGCGCTTATATATATATAATAAATCGTGAGACGAATCACATTGCGTAGACTAATTAAATTACTAATTACAGTTCTCTCTCCGAAGCGTCCTACAGGGCGCCTGTCTACTTTAAATAAAATACTTTTTACAATATGTACACATAATAATCTCGTGCATCCGTAAGATTATTAATGACGGAATGACAGAAAAATTGGCAGATATATCAAATAATAGCACATGTAGCCTCTCTTTAAATTATAAAAAAAATTATATTATAAAAAAATTTTTAATCGCTCTATCGATGGATTTTCTGAGAGACTTTAATAATAATAAAACACGACAATAATAATATTTTTGTATAGCTATAATAATACTATATTATTTATAATATAGACATTTTTCGCGTTCGTTCTTTTCCAAATATGCATTCATATTTATAATACTTTTCTCTCTCTCTCTCTCTCTCTCTCTTTCAATATATAACAACAAAAAAGCTGCTTTTATATAACAATATATGAATCTTATTGTCACCCATATAATTCTATTGTAAATAAATTAAGAATTATATATCTCGCATCGTAATATATGTAAAAATAGGGAAGTTGCATTTTGGAATGTGAATAAAAAATTGTTGTTTAATACATACCTATATAAAAATATCCTTAAGTATAGACGATATAAATTAATTTCCGTTTGGAACAAAAAATTCACATTTTTCAGCTATCCTCTCTTTTGACATATATAAATAACTTTCTGATGCCCCTGATCTTTTAATCTATATTAAAATTTCTAAAAATTACGTGCGACATAAAATACAATTTAAAAGAATATAAAATAATAATTTAAAATAATATAAATTAAAACGATTAAATCTTTTTTTACTAATATGTCGCGGCTTACCTCTACTTCTGGACATTCGAAGACCTGCATCAGAAGCGAGAGAATACTTAAATAATGTAATCGCTGCGGGAGTGTAAGTGTAAATTACTGATAAGAACGAGCGGAGCATTTGTGGCATTAAGAGAGAAGTCTCCAGGCATCGGGAGAGATGAAATATCGCGGATGCACTGATTATTAACTTATCTCTTCCGTCAGGATTATTGCGAGAAATAAATTGACTCAACTCAAGTTGGACAATTATATACAGGTTTTTTCGATTTTTTTCAATGTCAATTTTTGCAATCTGCCAGAACTGCGTCCGCGACTCCGTGATATGTACATTTCTTCGGCAAAATGCAAAAATACCTCGATCCATTTCTTTACTGAGCAATTTTTTTAGTTTAAAAATAGAAAAGTAAATTAAATCTTGTGCGATATTTTTTTCACGCCAATACAATGTAGGTTTTCTTGAGTTAAAAAAAAACCCTATATACACACTTTGATCGAATCAATTTGTCAGAATTTTCCAAAATCTCGTCTTTTAGAAAATCGTGAATAGATTTAAATAGCATATATAGTTTATATATTTAAATAATATAGAGCATCTCGATTTGAGTGAGCTACTTTTATTATTCCAAAAAACTGACCTTTTTCTTTTTTCATTTGTATAACAACTAAATTTTATTCTTAACATCCCTACACTAAAACTTTTAAGAGTTATAGAAAATGTTATCTCTTACAGTTTAAAAATGGCACCTTTACCAAGTAGCAAATCGACGTCAAAATGACGTCATTCGATGTCAAAATGACGTATGCTTGCTGCCTGAGTTATTCTTCATGCACCCTTTTTATTTCAAAAATTAAGCATTTTAGAGAAAAACGTTTTAGACAAAAAGTTCCTTTTAAGAAATTGAAGTTGATCTTCACGTAACCTTCAAATGACTTTTCAATGTCAAATCAATGGCACCATCTTATGTTCCCCTCAAAACCATACAATTTTTGTCTAAAACGTTTTTCTCCGAAATGCTTAGATTTTGAAAGAAAAGGGGTGTACGAATGATTTGGGACACCCGGTATATGTTTAATAATATGGCGAAACTATAATCGCACAAAATGGATCTGCCATTTTGAATTTTGAATATCTGAGCTCGAATAGCGTGGAGCCAAAATGGCAGAATTTCGTTACAATTGTATTACTTAGTAAATCTAATGACTTTTCTTATTAATAGGATTAAACAACATTCTGTAACTCCTAAGTTTTAATATAGGGATGTTAAGCTATTAAGAATTTAAAAAGTCAATTTTTTTACTATAAAAGTGACTCACTTGATATGGAATGTTCCATATGTATATATACAATATACAATGCTATACAAGAAATACCCTCTTTCCATCATCATTCCATTTCATTATCGTCATTTCTGATGGCACGTTTTCTATCGTACAAGTCTACTTAAAAAAAAAAAAAAAAAAAAAAACCAGGTACAGCGGAAAAAATCTCTATTTTGGAAATAGTTTTTTTTTTTAAACAGAATCTCTCTTTTTCTTTTCTCGAAAACGAGAGATTCGTCGAGACGCTCCAAAACTTTGTGTGTTCGCATCTATCCCCTATTCTCCCTCTCTGTTCCCCAATAAGTCGCTCATTCCTGCCAATTCCTGGTCGGGATGTCCTTCATCTCCGAGATATCGACTACGATTGGATCCAGCAGCTTCTTGACGCTGCGCTGCTTGTCGTACCCGATCTGGCCGTTCTCCAGGGGTTCGTTAAGAGCGCGCGACGCCGTCTCCGGGACGACGGCGGCGACGGCGTCGTCGTCGGGACGCCCGAGACAGAAGTGACGGCAGGGCACCAGGACGGTGAACAGGCCGAAGAGAAAGCCGATAGCGTTGCCGGCGAGAACGTCCCACCAGTGGTGTCGGTTGTCGCCCACTCTGGTCATCGAACACGTCACGGCCCACATGGCGGTCAGGCACTGCAGCCACGGTTTCAGAAACAACGTCCGCGTCGGCAGACGGTTCTGCAGGTACCACTGTGCGTGCATGCGTGCGTGAAGCGATAAAGTTTCGCGTGTATTTTTGGTTTTTTTTTAGATATAAAAATCGATATTCGCGTATTTTTTATTATCTATATTTAACGCGAAAAACATCCCTAGCCACACTTGGCCGAAATATATTCGATTCCTTTTACTTTTTTTTAAAGCGAAACGAATCTGTTTATTTCCGGAAATTTATACTTGACGAGACTCTCGCGTTATCTATATCTTCGTCTACTCCATCTCGTGCGTCCCGCGAAAATCGATATTCCGTTAATAGATTTTTTTGTGAATTCTTTAATTCTCTCATTGCTTAGATACCGGCTATCGATAACGAGAAAAGTACTAGATGCTGGTATCTTAGTTCTCTGTATTGCCAATAAGTCGTGAAACAAGTTTACGAATAAAAACACGTAATCTCTTCTTTTCTTATTAATAAAAGAAAAATATTTTTTTTCAAATAGTAATAATAATTTCTTACCACTAAAAAGATGCTCGTATAGAGAGAGATACCCGCATGACCGGAAGGAAAAGACTTGCTGGAATCTTTGATGAACCAGTCGGAAAACTCTGTACTTGTGCATGTATAAGAACTGATGTAAGATCTGAAAAAACATTGAAACATATACAGTTTATGAAATAGGCAAACAAAATATAACTTAGTGTTGAAAAATTCCGTTCAATACAGTGGAGAGAGAATCTGATGGTAGGATTTTTACTGTCACACCTCATTAATAATGTATATAATATAGGTTTTTATATTTTAATTTTACTAAATTATTTAAATAAAATAAAAAACTAGATAACCCGATATGAAATAAACACAACAAAACGTTGTAGAACATCACATAACCGATTGCACGTAAGTAACAAATCTACCTCGCTTGCAATCGGTAAATATACATTTATAAAAAAAACTCGATAAATATAAATAAACATTTATAAAAAAAAACGAACTCTATTTTTCTAAGCTTCATAGAGACTGTAATATTAAAGTCCACTCTCGACATTTATCATCTTTCGGAATGCCTCATCGTTAATAATTTCCTGTTTACCACATGATTATTGCATCTCGTAGATGCTCAGAATACATTATATAATTCCTGATTTCCTTATTAGAATCCATTAATGCCCACGAACGCTTATTCGTGTTCCGCCGCCCACGCCCTATCCATGGCGTGAAAAAAAGGTCGACAATTGCATCTGGATAATAGAGGTAGTCGGGACAAAGGGAGAAATGGGTAGAAAAAGATTGTGCTTACTCATCGGTGCAGTTGGCTGCCTCGCGCGGTTTACACGTGTCGAGAAAGTGCGGCCGCGGCTCGCCGATTAGGGTTTTCATGACCTCGCAGACGAGCGTGAGCGTAACGAGTCCGATGGAATAATGACTATACCAATACCAGATCTGCTTGATCCTGGTTAACTCGACGTGGCGACTCGACGCGTTCCTATAACTGTCGGCAGGATAACAAACGTATTCCGTGGCCCACATCTGAAACCAACCATGTGGATTTATTGTTAACAGTGTTGTGCTTAGATAATTTTAGAAAATTAGGTAGATAAAAATAAGATAAAAATATGTAAATTCATCTTAGATAAGATAAATTTGATTTTGTTTTAAATATATCTAAATAACGAACCAAGTGAATTCATTGTTAACAGTGTTGTGCTTAGATAATTTTAGAAAATTAGCTAGATAAAAATAAGATAAAAATATGTAAATTCATCTTAGATAAGATGAATTTGATTTTGTTTTAAATATATCTAGATAAAAGATAAAATTATATGGCGATTCATCTAGATAATAATTTTAAAGCCTGCTTATGTAAACACATTTTTAATTTTTATTAAAAAATTGTAAATTATAAAAGAGATATAAATATATATGTATTCATATTTTTATTTATAAATTTTTATCGCTTACTGCTTAAGTTCTACTATTTAAGTATTTTTATGTGCTAAGATTCTCAACCAAAATTATCTGAAAATTATTCTAGATAATTTAGTAAAGATAATACTTGTTTTCATCTAAGATGTAGATAATACATATTTTATTATCTATATAAAGATAAGATGATGCCAAAGTTTCATCTAGATGATTATCTATATAATTTTATTTAGATACCAGCAAACGCTGATTGTTAAGGAGATCTTAACGCTATTTTGTTTTATTGATAAAACGGATCATTATATATTTGTCAAAAAATGTAAAAAAATATTAATTATTTTATATTGCATTTAAAAGTGATAAAAAAATTTGTCACAATCGTTATATATAAATAGATTGAACGTTATTCCAATTAAAAAAAAGTATTCAAAATGATTTTATGCAAAATTTTATTGCGCTATTTACAAATTCTGTAAATAATTAATTTATTATAGACGTTTAGTTTAGATTATACATTAATATCACTAAATTAAAAATATATTATTATTCAACTTATTTTGTTTATATATACATCATTTATTTTTATTCGAAAAATTAATATTTTCAATTGAATTACTTTATGAAGAGTTTATACAATATAAGTCAATATAATCTGAAAGCTAATTTTTATACAAATTTTATTATTCAAAATCATAGAAATTATAGTTTTGCTCGCGATTCATAATAATAAATTCATTAGATCGATAAAAAATAAATTTAAATGCGTAATATTTGCCGAGTAATGTTTAAAAAAAAAGAGATTAGCATATTGACTTGCATCTAGTCGTTGATCTTATCGTGATCGATTTGCATTTCCAATGCTAGTTTTACATCAAAATAGGAATGTAAATATAGAATTTAACCATTGACTCGCACGATCGTACAACCACATACAATAATAAGAGAGGAAACAGAAACGAGAGCGCGATACTTACGACTATCAATGGCAGACTGACGCTGAGGATTATCAATAAACTCATAGAGATCGTGTCGCCCGTGAACTTGAACGAGATCTTTGGATCATTGCAAAAGAAGCCGATCTGCTGATTTGGCACTACATTGAATTCCAGGATCCCCAAAAGTAGAGTTACTAAAACAGAAAATATTAGCACGAATTAAAATTAATTTTATACATCAATTTCTTAATAAATCTTATATATCGATAACAAAAAATTTAACATGTATATTAGGGCGGATTAAAAATGTAAAAAATTGCGCTTTCTTATAAAATAGCAATAGGATGCGGAAAAGTTGTGACGTGATGATAATAAAAAATGCATTCTCACATTAGCTTTTTTTCAGCAAGACAGTCCAATTTTTTAATATAAGAAAATTAAAAAATTATAAATTCTCTATAAATTATATTTCCTTGTTTTCCTTCCTTAAAAATATTTAAATGTAAAACATCAAAGTGAAAAATTATATAAATCTTATTTTTTGTCTTACGAATTATATTTATGCGAATTATATTTTAAAAATTAATTAATTAATTGATTAGTTTGTAAAGCAAGAAAATTTATAGAATTTTATATTGTTTATTTTTTTTACATTAAAATCGAAAATTAAACTGTCTTACTGGAATAAAAGATAAATAAGAGAGTGTGATTTATGGATCTTTTTATTAATGCCAAATCACATTTTGTTTCATTATCACTATTTGATTAGTATAATTTTTGCATTTTTTATTTCCTTATGCATACATTAAGTTTTTGTATGTGTTTGCAAAAATTGTATGTATTTTTAAATATTTCTGAATGTAAATTCCCTTTCTTTTATTTATTCCTAATTTATATATCTATAATAACGCTAAATTATTATTTTTACCTATTTGTATATAAAATTATGAAAATAGATCAAGTTTTTCAAAATCAATATATGTATTTAGAATTATAATTATAGAAACAATAGAAATTTTGCATCGATAAACTAGTTTTCTAAAAGAATCTGTTAATTGAAATAAGGTCATTACACGTTAACACGTTTTTTATTATTTTTTCTCATGTAAAAATTTCGACACTTTAGATACGTTTTCATACATTACGTGTATATATATATATATATATTGATACAGTTGATTATACAAAGTTAAATAAAAACAATTTTTTTTCAAATATAAGAACAAGACTTCTCATAATTTTTTTATAATAAATATAATTTCAATTTCCAAATAATTCCATCATGTCAAAATTTTAAGAAATTGAAGTTATGTTGTAAATATTTTTTTCGTTGAATTGTGTTATATATTGTATGCCAATAAATGCCACTAAAACGTCATGAATTCTTAGAGATGAGTAATCAATTTAAAGCACGATGAGTTCTTGGTAAGACAGGAAACAAAACATGTTCGATCTAAATGATAATTTTGATATTTGATATTAATATTAAAAATATATATTTAATATCACACACAAATTATATTAATATTATATATATTAATATTACATGTTATATTAATATTACATATATTAAATATTAAATATATTTAATTATTGATATTAATGATATTTTAATGATAATTCGATATAATGATAATTTTTGGAGATGATAGCGCTGGTCGTATTGTTCCAAAATTCATATTTACAATTTTAAATCATTTCCGGGATAGAGCTATTTATATGAATTTATCTCTGTCTTTCTTCTCATATTTCTCATATACTTTGACGTGCAGTCGAATGTATATATACCTATATAAAGCAATTTAAACAATCATTATTTGATTGTGATAGCTTTTACAAATAAAAATTGATCCGAAAGATTAGAGGAAAATGTCTAGATAACATCGGATTTTTTAAATATTAATTAATTATTTTATTAATTACTTATTTGTCATTAAGCATGCAATACAAAAGCATTAAAAGCAATAAGTAATTTTTCTTCCCTTATTATACTATCTCTTTATTATTATTATTATTATTTCTATTTTTTGCATTTTTTGTATTTTTTGTATTTGTATTGTCAAACAGCTCTATCTCGATTATTCGAGCCGAACGTCTACGTGTTCGTGAATAAACATCGCTTTTCACAATTCGAGCGAAAATCGTCAGCTCCAAAAATATTCGCATTTGTTCTCCTCGCGAATCGTTCCGCGTATAAAAGACTCATCGGAGGATGAATCGGAGATTTTCTAAGATTCTTCTCTCGTACGTACTGACGGCATACTGATTGCGACGAGACCACTTGACACGCAAACGTGACGTCATTTTCCGGCTATCGGCTTTTCTGTCCGGCCGCTGCTCGTTCATCTCGGAAAATTTTCGACGCGTCTCCTCTCGAACGGAAATGACCGGAATTACCGCACTGTAAACTCTCTTCCGCAGGAAAGATAAAGATGCTTCGACGAAGAGAGCGAGATTCGTCGTCGTCACTCGCTCATTAACACGAGCACTCTGAACGTAGATGCAATACGTCACACACTACACGTTATAGCTTTATCAGCAGTGATTTAGCGCGCATGCGCAAGCGCGACGCATCACGATGACACGTGAGTGGAGAAAAGAATTTGAATAGAGCGCCTTTTTTCTTAGAATAATACAGCTTTAATGTCAAAATTAATTTTAAAAAAATGTTTGTTAATTTTCCATTTCATCATCCCTACTTATAGAATAAAATCCATATTTTTTCTGTAAATTTCAACAAATAAATATTATTAATAAATAATCAGTGTTGTACTTTTACATGGAGATTACTTGTTCAAAACTGGAAAAATTACTTGATTATCACTGTAATTTTTTCCATATTTTTAAAAGTAAAAATACATATTGAAGAAATATATGTAAAATATAGATAAAATTACTATTTTTATGTAAAAATCATGTAATTTTAAATTTACTATTTTTACTTTATTCAAACTTTATTAAAACTCTCTCTTTCTGATGTACAACACACAATTCTTGATATTATGACTTCACAAGATAAAATGGCAGTTTTCCATATGACGGATGCTTATATACTAGCTACGTTTGGTACTTATCTTTATCACGATGTTATAAAAATCGCATTAAGGAAACAATATTAATACACAAATAAATACATACATACATACATACATATATATATATATATATATATATTGTTTCCTATATATATATATTCCATACAATATATATATATATATATATAAATACAATATATATATCCTATATATATATATATATATAAGCTATGTATAAATAAACTAATGTTAATGCGCCAATATCATAAAAATCATAGATAAATCATAAATATGCGTAAACTGTTTATTTATTCTCTGTGACTTTAAATTTCTCAACTTTAAACATCGAATTAAAGAAGTGTTTCCTGTTAATTTTCCTCAATTGGCTCTACTTTTATTTTACTTGAAATATATTTCCTCATTTTCAATTTACATATATGTAAATTATTTATTGTCACAGAATTCTATAATATAATATGTTAATATATAAAAGATTTTAATATATAAATTTAAATTACTTTTTATAAATTTTTATATTTATAAATATATAAATTGTTATAAATTTAATTATTAAATACAATACCATATACAAATTTTGTATCGATATTTCATTCTTTCTATGAGATTACGAAGGAAAGACGGTCATCGCACGAGTAGCGATATAGTATAGTGATATTTCTAGTTTATTTCTCAAAAGTGCGTTGTCGGAATAAAACTTTCTTATATATGGTTGAATTTGGAAAATTTTTTTATAAAAAATTTTTTTTAATTTTTAAAAATTATGGAGAGAGAGGGAAATTTCAGAAAATTTGAAATTTTTGAAAAATTCTTTTGCACTGTTTTAAAGAACATTAAAAACCATAAAACTTTTACTTGAAACATTTTTTAATATCTTTTACCGTTTCGACGCTATTAGTTCAAAAATTAAAAAGCCGTTTTTTTTTCAAGAGGGTGTTTACCCCCTAAACGTCGAAATACGCCGCTAAAAAAAATACGGGTCTAATATTTTTCAATGCTCTACAACATATTCAAGGCTCATTAAAATCGGTGAAGGACACTTCCAACCGTTCCCTTGTTAAATAACATAAAGATGATTTTATTTTAAATATATTTAGATAAAAGATAAAATTATATGGCGACTCATCTAGATAATAATTTTTAAGCCTGCTTATATAATTAGAGTATTAAAAAATTGTAAAAAACGGAAATTTTAAATTATAAAAGATATAAAAATATATATATTCATATTTTTATATTTATAAATTTTTATCGCTTCGTGCTTAAATTCTACTATTTAAATATTTATATATGCTATAATTCTAAATCAAAATTATCTGAAAATTATTCTCGATAATGTAGTAAAGATAATGCTTTTTTCATCTATAATGCAGATATAAATAATACATATTTTTATTGTCTATATAAAGATAAGATGACGCTAAAGTTTCATCTAGATGATCATACAGAACATATTTATTATGTAAAATTAAATATAGATGCACATTATTGTGTTATTTTTATTTTTTTTCAATTGTTTTAATAATTTACATTTGAGTTCAATTAGCACAGCAGCAATATGTTAAATTAACAAATGTGTTAAATATTTAACAAAAAAATTTAATAAGAGTCTTTTTTAACAAAAAAACAAATTTTCTAATTGTGTATCATTAAATTTTTCTCGACAAAAAAAGCTCTTTTAAATTAAATCGCAAAATATTTGTTATTAAATTTTTTAAATTATCGTAATCTTTAAATCACGAATTCGATATATTGAAAACAAAAATTGCTAAAGAAATAGATCACAATCTGAAAGTCAAAGTTCAAAAAACTGCTTTTTTCTCAACATATTGAATCCACACTATAATTTTCAATGTAAATTTTTGCGATTTAATTTAAAAAAATCAGTATCAAGAAAAATTTAGCGATATTTAATCGCAAAATATTTGTCATTAGAAATCTTTGTCATTAGAATTCTTTTCAAATTCACGAATCTTTGATTCTTAGAATTATGCAGCTATTTTTTTCACATTATTAGAATATGTATATGTACATTATACGAAAGTATACAGAATGTGAAACCAAATTTGATCAAATTTTAATGCAACTGATCATAAATATTGTATTACATTCGGGAATATTGAATTTGCACGGATAATATT